AGAGGGGAGAGAAGAGAGAGAGGAGGAAAGAGAGGGGCAGAGAAAGAGAGAGGAGGAGAAAGAGGAGAAATGGATGATCCCGTACCTAAATCTCCTAAGTGGTTTCGCTCGTGGGAGGTTATTATCATTGCATGCACGTGATACGTGTCTGCATTCGGATTCGTGATTCCTATCTGGTTCTTGAATTTCCGAAAAAAATCAAAGACTACTTTCTCGATACGAATCGTTGAGATTAAGGGAATGATTTGCGAATTAGAAAATTCCGTCATTTATTTGAGATAGGAGCGAACGATTTTACTTTTTCGGAGTCCTCTTCGAATTATCAATTGTTCGAAGATGATTTTTTCTTGGAATTCGCTTATCGCCATCATTCTATTCTGATGAGCAATAAAATCGTTATCCCCTTCATATCGCTTTGGGATCTCCTTGATATTCCGATTGATCGTCATTAGGTCGCCGACCGGTTCTATCATCTGCCTGGGGAACGAGGAATTCGTCTTTCGCGTCGTGAACGTTGTAGATCGTTGATCTCGACCGTTGCCGCTCTGCCAGCCGCTACGGTCGCTCCATTTCTTGGGAAACGCAGCTTCGACCCGTGAACCCAATGCCAATCGCCATCTTCGTCATCTTCATCGTAGACCTAATCTTCGCTATCGTCCCAATTGTAATATCAGTAGTCGTCTTCGCCCCATCGGCAGCATTGATCGTGCTAGTTATCATGCCAGCATTGATTCTGCCAGTGGCGATCTTCGCCCCAATGGAAGTCATGTTCATCCCAAGAAGTCGAATTTCCCTATTCGCCCGAAATTTAATTGGAAATCTCATAGAATATTCTATTTTTGATCATCAATATCACGATCATGAGCGAATTTAGACGAAATCTGGTTATGATCATCATTTATATCATCAATAATTGATTCTCTATCAATATCAAGATCTCCGTCGCCGCCATCTACGACCGATATGGCATTACGGATAGACTAAATTACGAATTTACGGAAATTGGAGCGTACTGGCTCCGCTTTCAATTTCAATATAAAATCCTGAGAAGATACGGTCCGGCCTCTGCCCAGATAGCTCGATTTTTTGGCGCTGCGAAATGCCTTCGGAATAAAGTTCTTTGTCTGATCTACGGTACGAGGGATTGATAGATTTCAGGGGAATCAACTTTCCCAGAAATATATTCATCAAGGAAGGAATGATATATTATTCAATCTCAATTATATTCGAGCTTATAAAAAAAAGATTAGATTATCTAATCATAAAAGAGGAGATTTAAAGCGTAAAAGATGGAATTGCCTTATCGTCAAAGCCAAGAATTTAAAGTGGAAAGGACGGAATTATCTATTCGTAAATGCGGAGAATTTTTCAAGGCTAAAGGATGGATTTATCTTTCCGTAAAAGCGGAGAATTTGAAGGATAGGATTGGAATTATCTGATCATAAAAACGGAGAATTTGAAGGGGAGACGGAAGATTTTTCTAAGCGTAAAAGCGGAGGGAATTTATAGCGTAAAGGACGGATTTATCTAATAATAAAATGTAAAAGCAAAGAATTTGAAGGATAGAGGACGGATTTATCTAATCGTAAATATAGATAATTTGAAGGAAAAAGGCGGAATTATCTAATAATGCAAGAGGAAAATTTAAAGCGTAAAGTGCGGAAATATGATATCGTAAAAATGAAAAATTTTGAAGCGCAAAGGATGGATTTATCTAAATGTAAAAGTGGAGAATTTGAAATATAAAGGAAGGAATTGTCTTATCGTCATAGCGAAGAATTTGAAGTGGATAGGGCGGAATTATCTAATCGTAAAAGCGGAGATTTTGAAAGATAAGGTTGGAATTATCTAATCGTAAAAGCGACGAATTTGAAGGATAAAGGATAGATTTATTTAATCATAAATTCAGAGAATCGTAAGGAGCAGGAAGATTTTAATTATTCATAAAAGAAAAATAAAAGCGAAAATATTTATTAATCAGAGTAGAAAATAGAAAGGATAAATATGAAATTCTCTAATTATAAATATAGAAAAATTGAAGGATTAAGAGAAGATTTCGAAATTATGAAGATAGAGAATTTGAAGGATAAAGCAAGAATCATCTAATCATAAAAAAAGATATGATGAAAGATAAGAGAGGATTTATCTAATTATAAGAGCAGAGAATTTGAAGAATAAGATAAGAATTATCTAGTTATAAAAACGGAGAATTTGAAAGATGAAATTAAAAATTCTCTAATCATAAAAGAAGAGAATCTGAAATATATATGATCTATAAGATACCAAAATATGAGATCAAATATAGTATCTAATATATCATGAATCGAGGGATTTTGAATAAAATATATAGATTTATATCGATTGTTTATATCAAGATATAAGAAGAAAATATTGAGACGAATTAATTGCCAAACCGTAGAAAAAAAAGAAAATTAGAAATTAAGAAATATATTTGAATATAGAGAGAAATGATGAAAATATTGCATTAAATGATATTAAAGATTATTATCGATAAAAGAGAATGATTCCGTTATCTGAAATAAAGAATTATAATTGCTGCAAAATATATATAATGAAGATTCCGATGAATGAATATATTATAAGCTCGCACGTGAAATGATGAAATCATAATATATATCAAATTGAATATAATGAAAACGATCAATATATAGATTCTAAAAGATTTTAGATCTCCGCTCCAGAGCTCTACTTTCCGCCGAGCCGCAACGTAGATAATCAGAGAGAGATAGAAATAATTCGATATCTAGAAGAATCTTTAGTCGCGGATCCCCCCCCATCCGATCTAGATATTCCGACCTCGCCCAGATATAAATCATATCGAATTTATAAAATCGTATATATAGACCGATGAATAATCAATATATACGATCGTCTATATTAAAAATGACCATCCTATAGATTCTGAAAAATTTTAGATCTCCATCTCGAGTCTATACGTTCCGCCGAATCGCAACGCAGATAGCCAGAGAGAGAGAAATCATTCGAAATCTCGGAGTATTTTTGCATCATTTATTTCTTTGAATTATCTGCGCGGCGGGTCGAGAGAGCATATGAATCTCCGGAGATAAATGCGGTCAAGTTTCAAATTCTGAAAGATCTTGATTCTCCGTCTCAAATCTATGCATTCTGATGCGGTCTCTTTCTATTCCCCGTTCTATATGCGCTCCGTCGAGTATCTACGCAGATAGCCAAAGAGGAAATTCGTTCCGGAGGCAAGAGCCGCGCGACCAATAATTTTCGAGATCTGCCCCAAAAATCTCGTAGATTTAAGATTTTTCCGAAGAACTCTAAAATTTCTGAGATTTTAGAATCTCTAGGGAATTTATAAGAGAAATTATAAATAAGTGATGGAAAAAAAAAATTAGATTATACCCAAACGAAAAAGTCGCAAATAATTACGCCGCATTATGAAGTATAATTTGAGACCCGCTATTTGTAGCGGCGGAGCGTTGTCATTAGAATATCCTCGTAGCGGCAAGCCCTTATAATCTGATATCCCGAATCCTGAAAAAGCGTCGATATTTTGAAATTAAAGGCTTTTATGCTAGCAATAATTGAGGGCATTGCCATATCTGTTAATAATTCGAAATCTATGGAGATTTTTTATTAATGAGATGAAAGCTTTCCGACCCGATTTTATCTTTCTATTTCATTTTCTCTCTTTATTTAATTACTACGCGGCAGATCGGAAGAGCGTATAATCGCCCGTAGATCAATACAGCCAAGCTATAAATTCGGAAAGATTTAGATTCTTCGTCCCGGATCTATACGTTTCGGCGATCAGCTGCACTTTTAATTATAGAAATCTGAATCACGCTCAATACCGCCCCAGAAGCAAGAGCAGACAACCAAAAAGAAATAGGATTCGAAATCTTGAGCGATATTTATTCCTGCCGCTCAAAGCTTCCAGCCCAGAATTTCTATTTCATTTATCTCTCTTGGACTAATATAACGGATCGATTATCCCGGCTCTACCCATTCCACCAAGCAACTTTCCACGCAGCCAAAGAGAAAGATACATCCCATGAAAAATCGCTCCGGGACGGGGGAGAAAGGCCGCGCTACCAAAAATCTCCGAGATTTTTGATCATACCGCCCGCACCAAAAATCTCGGAGATTTTAGAGCCTAGAGTTTTTGAAAGGCTCTAAATTCTCCGAAGTTTTAGTGCCCCTAAGGGACCCGCAGGAGAGGTGAGTCGGAAAGGCTCGGTTATGCGCGGTCGAAATGACTACAAATAGCCGCGCCATAATATTGAAACAAATAGCCGCGCCGTAATATTGAAATATATTTTAATAATAGAACAGAAATTAGATTAGATTACAACAATATAGTAGTATTGATGGCTTATATAATAATCGCACTAGGATAGGACCTCTTTATATGAGAAAATCTTGGGATAATCGATCTTCCCTTGGTTAGTAATGCGGGCGAGATTTTCCCAGATAGAGAAGAAATTTATAATTCTCAAAAAGGATATTTAATAAGATTATCAGCACGATATATTATATAATCGCAGCTACTAGGCTTGAGACCAAATGGAATCCAGATCTTCTTGGAATTGCTCATTTGATTTCTTTATATATTAATTATTCAGGACCGTCTGGCCTGCAAATAGATTGCGCAAAATAAACATGTCCTATTCGCCAAATACGGCCAGGGTCCCTGGAGCTCGAAGCTGTGTCTTTGAGCGCGACAAGATAAGCATTCCTTCCGTCTCACGACCTCCCGATAAAGAATTTAAATTTTCTGCCAAATAAGACATGTTCGGCCCTGCCCTTGTCTCCATGCAGTTTTTTCGACTTGCAAGAATTTGCAAAATCTCTGACAATATCCTCTTCAGCACTTCTGCAGGACCGCGAGGAGCCCATCCTCTGCATCAAGTGATGCAGCGACACCGGCACAGCCCCAAGTCATCTTCATCATGCTGAAGACCTTGCGGCAAGGATTAATGCAAGCGGATATGTTCAACAATTCCCATTCTAGATTCCAAGCTTCGGGTTGAAGACCATGTCTGCGGCAGAACCCAGAATTAGATCGCAAAAGCAAGCACCAGTGTCCCTTCCAAGATAGCAAGTCAATCCTCATTGCAGCCCGGGAGGTAAAGCCCTGGGCACCCTTAATGTGGAGGAGATCCCCATTTTGAGCCTGATTCCTCTCTCATTACTCTGCAGATGAAGCCTGCATATACTCGGCACCATATCTTCTCAAGACCATATGCTAACAAGTAGGAAGCCCAAAGAAAACCAACCGCAAACACTGAACCCCCAAACCCCCAGCCATAAGCCCCCAAACTGTAAGTCCCAAAGCCCAGTGCAAGTGCCTGGATGGCAACCTGTGCCTCCGGGCTAGCTCCCAACTCCAGCAAGCTGCTGGGCTCTTCACACGCCTGGTTTTAAAGGGCTTCAAGGGCTTCGGTTCTTTGACTTTGGGGCGGAGGGGGTTGAGGTTAGGAATTGGTGCTCCTAGGGACGAAACCTTGGGTTTCCAAATTGATGGGCCCTTTGTCTGACGACGTCAAAAAAGAAAGCTCTCGGTATATGTTGGAGATTGTTTATGTCTGTTTTGGAACTTCTGCAAAGTTGCGAGTTGGGATGTGCCTCTGTGATGTGGAAGACGGCCAGAAGACAGTTCTTTCCACAGCTCCCTATGATAATGCTGAAGAATGAGAAATAACCCCCCAAAGTATATCCCATGAGGTCACATACTTGCGCACCTACCATTTGCCCCCACCCTGACCCTTGATTTTCAAACCCTAGACCTCAAGCCCTCGGCTTTACATCTGCCCGCGGCCTTCTGCTTCTGATCTGCGACTTTCCCCTTCATTGCCGCAAGCTCGTTGTGTTTCTCTTGGACCTTTGGCTTTGCTTCTTCGCAATCCTTGATGTCTGCCTTTATCTTTGCAACACGGTCGTCGAAGGTCAGCTTTGACTCCTTTGACCCTGGCTGACCTGCATTGCCGGTCGCAACATTCAGCTTCCCGCCTCCGCTGGGGACCTGGCTCGTTCGTTGGGGTCCTCATACGAATAACCAAGGCTCTGTCTACAACGGTTACAGTGCAGGTAATTAGATACTGTCAAAAACGTTTCCAACAATGATGCAGGGACAACAATGTCGCCAGTGAAGTCCGGGGCCTTGAAGTCAGGCATCTGGATGTTGAAAGAAGTTCCACTTATCTCACCCACTTGGATCTCAGGGATCTTAATGTTGATCTCCGGGATATGCACTTGGGCTGAAATTTGGACACTGATGCACTGTTCGACGGCAAGCGTGTACTTGGCAAAGGCTGCCTTGAGCTCCGCAGCAAAGGCAGGACAGAATTGGCCACCTGAGGACTCATCTGCACTGAAGCCAGCCATGGACTGTTCGGCCTTGGCCGTTGCGCTCTTCTTCTCACACTCCTGAGTTTCTTGCTGGATGTCCTGCAATCCCTGGCGCTCTTCCTCGACCTTCTGCTTCTCAGTGCTAATATCAGCAGCACACTGGCCTAGCTTTCCTTGCAAATCATAAAGCTGCTTAAGCTTGTCAAAGCACATTGATTTGGCCATTTCAATTTCATCTTTGATCTGCTTCTCAGTCTTCTTGCACTTCGAGGCATCGCCGAACTTGATGGGGCCGTTGCAAGGTGGGACTGGACCAGGATCTCTCTCACCAACTGCTACCATGCAGTACCAGAATGGCACGAAGACCTGCTTGCGGTAGGTTTCGTCTTGACAGCTGACCTCCATCTCCTTCTCCATGCAGTTCATAGCATCTGCCATCTTACCATTCATCATGTCCATGGCGCCACCCATGTAAAGCCCGGGAAGAGGCCAGGCTTGCCAGCATTCCCTTTGGCAGGCTGAGCTGGGTTGTTCACGTCTTGCGGCGGCAGGCCAAAGTCTGGAAACATTCCGCCTCCGCCGGCGGCATCGCCGAAGCCCTCTGGCTGTGGCATGTTGCCGAAATCGGGGAACATGCCAGCACCGCCGTTGCCGAAGGCCCCTGGCTGCGGCTGAGCCGGCCCCGCTGCTCCGAACTCAAAGCCGCCGAAGTCAAAAGGGTCATGCTGCTGACCCTGCACATGCTGTCTAATCTCCGGGGTGCTGCGTTTGCCACGGCACACAGCCGCAGTGGCCATCACGCACATCAGCCCGAGGGAGCCGACCATGGCTCGGAACAGTTAGCAAACTACGAGATGAGGAAACACCAACACCCGTGGTGCCCGGAGAGCTCGGGTGCAAACAAAGGTCCGGAGCAACATCTGATCCAAGCCCATCTTTAAGATGTGTTTTGGCTTGCAGAGCTTGCTTCAACTTACTGTCAATGCATGGGTCCTAAACCTCCCCAGTACCCAGTGCGCAAAGACCTTCTGCGTCCGAACAGCGGTACCCTCTCAAAAACATGGAACAGGCTACTGCCCCTTCAAAGGGATACCCGGATACCCATGTTTATTAAGCCTGAAACATGGTCCAGCATAATCCTCTTCACTTACATGATAATTCCACAAGAATATGCCTTCTAAAATGCCCCATCATTTTGCTACAAGATGAGCTTTTTTAATCAGCATTTTGAAGCCTCTAAGCTAGCCAACTTTAGAGTACATCCTTGGGCTTGATGAAGCTGAAGAGTGTTCAAGATCTGCTCGCACCCAGACCTTCAAACCCTACACCCGAAGCCGCCCAACCCAAGAATAAAAAACCGAGACTTGACCGCAGCCCCCAATTCCAAGCCCTGAAGCCATGACCTAAACCTAAAGATGCACAACAAAGCCTGCTTTGTTTTCGCCTCAGGTGAATCTTTGTCGTTTGGCTCCCTTGAGAGCAATGCAGATAGTGGCCTGCAGGGCTCTCTCCCCAAACAAATACGGAACATCACAAGAAGCAGGTTCATTATCATTTGGTGAGTGCACAAAAGGGCCCTTTCAAACATTGGCGGATATGTGTGGGATGCCCTCGTACAGGGAGACCATGGATTTGAATTCTTCCTTGCATGGCCCCCTTTTCTCACGACAGCCCCTTGGGTGGATCCATGTCACGTGTAGTTCGGTTTGGAAGACTCGGGTTTGGAGAAAAAAGCGATTTTGAAGTTTAGATCGCCAGCTTTGGCCGGGGAAGAGCTTCGATTTAAAGTCTTCAGGTTTGAGATTCAGCTTCTTATTAACAGTTTCTAAGTGAGCCTCCAGACCCCAGACTCTTGACAAGTTTCTTCCATCCCTGTACTAAAGCGATCTAGCCTTGTAATGCCCCAACAGGAAATCATAGAAATGAACTTGCGCGTCCCTAAATATGGACAGCCGCAACAAACCAACAGTCTACCTAGCAGAAGATGTTCACCAAGAAGTGCTTTCAGAAATTGTTTGCCACGAACTTTGGGAACCTGGTGCAGAACACTGGAGTCCCACACAACCATGATAAAGCAAAAAGACTAGCACAGCTAGCTCAGCGCGCAGCAGGGAAGCTGACAGTTCAACAGCAGGATTAGTCTGAATGGGGTAAGCACAGCATACGTTGGGGGTAGACTTCAAAATCCGAGGGCTGAAGGTACCAAGAGCCAAGGCCGTCCATGCCGCAAATCAAGAACCCAAGCCCGCACCAAATTCTGATGCTGCTGTGCAATCCGTTTACCCTGCCTCCTCGCCATCCACCTCCACTCGCACCTCTACATCCTGACCCTCCGTGATCTCTAGAGGCTCCTGCACAAGTCTTGGCTGAGGGGCTTTTAAGGTTTGTGGCTTAGGCTGTTGGGTTTAGGGCTTCAGGATAAACGCACAAGGGACACAGTACGTAAGGTGGTTAAAAACTTCTGTTGCACGCTAACTCTGGATCTGGAGCCAGTGACAAGTATGCGGTGGGATCCATCTTAGCTGACAGCAGCAAGTTTCGAGTTTAGGGTGCCACTTTCGACAAATCTGGCAGTTTGCTGACAATAGCAGTACTGATCGCAAAGTTTAAGCCAACGAACTGTGGCAAATTCCATCGTCCTCTTCGTGATCGTGTTGAGAAATGATACCAGCAGCGACTATGCGCATAGCCTTAAGGTTAACAGCAAACAAACCTATGCCAATGATGCCTTATAATGTGAAAATAAATGAGCAATGACTATAGACACGCAAGCCCAAAGCCCAGAAACCATGAACCTTGAACCCGTGACGACCTCCCACCATACCGACCGTACTTGGATCCCAGAACCCAAAGCCTGCTTTCTAAACCCCTAAATCTCCTTCAGTAATTGCAGGGCTTGACTCCATCCAGTGGGGACGCGCGACTGTGGGCCTGACTGTAGAGGTTTCTCAACATGACGGGCTGTTGGGCGCAAAACGGGAGTTATATGCGGAGTCTGAAATATTGAAGTAAATGTCTGCAAATAATGGAGCAGGATTTCCGTGCTCAATTTCCCCAAGTTACGGACCCTTGAACGGGGGTATGTGTACAATGGGAATCTGATTTCAAGCAACCTCTATCTTCGATGTCTTGGGGACTGCACTGTTTTGGCATCAAGGCATAGCCTGTCGGAATGAGGAAGGCAGGGTATAGGGCTCGACAGATTCGAAGCGCAGGGCTTGGCGCTCAGCAGTTAGGATTTGGGACATAGGCTTTCAGGTATGGCGCTTACAATTTGGAATGTGAGGTCCTGGGATGTTCAAGGCATGGTGGTTAATGTGCTGTCTTCCCGCTGCACCCCTTGTCAGTACCGACCACGCCGATCTAGGCCCGGCCTCCCGAAGGACCCTCGCAGCTGAGAGCCTTACCCCCTTTGCCATGTCACTGGGTGGTGGGTTCGAGACCGGGGCCTCCGGGTAGCAGAGCACACTCTTAGCTTAGCCCTTACCATACCGGTGCTCTTCAAGGCACGGTGGTTGAGATTGAAGGCGTAGAGCATCAATCCATGAGAAAACTTATGAAGGATTAACAAATACTCTGACCCGAGCAAGTCCCGAACCCCGGGCGGCAGTATTGGTTTGATTTCTTCGTGAGCTAGAGGTTCTTACGGTGAGGATGCCATTTGGGGTGGCAGGAAGGACGCTGAATGCGTCTTATACTCACATGAAGCAGAGGTTCACCTAAAACTCTGAAAACAGATTGGATGCTCTCTGGAGGGAAGTTGGGATTGTCACTGATTACCAAGACATTGTTTTTTTGAGTCGTTCCGCCGCAGCCCTGCCCTCGAAGCTCACTCCGAAACCCTCCACCCCCAAAACCCAACCACCCTGAACTCTAAAGATCAATCCTAACGCCACCTCCCTGCTTCCCCCAGCCCNNCCCCCCCCCCCCCGCCCCGAAAAAAATGCTCAGATCCAGGCCTGTGCTCAATACGGATTTCTCGGCTTCAAACTCAGCCCAGAGCGCAAGGCCATGGCACCTTCGGCCATCCTATTGGTGATTAAACGAGGAGTGGGTCAGGGAATCTCTGTACTCATATGATCGATATATGCACATGCGGAAAGTAATTCTGGAAGGTCACTTTGAGCAAAAGTCGTTCCTGAGAAGGTTTAGCGCTTTGGGCTGTCATGTGTTACGGGGTCTATGTCCCTTGCTCTGCTGCAATGCCAGGCCCGAAAACCTCACAACTATCGAGGTGTGCTCAGTGCTTTGCAATAAATGCCGGAAAATCGCTGTTCTTGAATGCTGAAACCCGAGGAAGATTAGCGAATGACTTGAAGAACTCTCGCACCATGACCCCTGGACCGCGAAACACCTCAACCGCAAATCTCTGTAAGCCCGCGTCTTCAGCCTCTGAATTTTTAACGGCTTCAGACCGCATACGAGGGAACCTCCTAAGCCCCTGAAGCCGCCTCAAATCCCGAACCCATTAGGAAGTCAACTGTTTCAACTGCGAGTTTCCTTTACATGGGGGGGCCCTACTGAGAGTATCGGTATGCTTTTCAGGTGCTCTGGCTCGTTGAACACCACGTCAGGACAGTAAGGACAGCGCTTCCCGTCAGAGGTTGTCTGCAGCCTTGAGAAAGGACTCAGGACTCAGTGGGTCAACCTAGAGTTCGGGCCTGTCCTAGCACGCTGGCCGAAGTACCCCTAGTCCAAATCCTAAACACATAACTGTTGCCCAAAAATGATAAGTCGCAGAGCAAAGAAAAACTGCTGCACAAAGACTGCTGTCCTTTCTTGTGAGCTTGAGATTTTTGGTGCCAACGCTTGTTGGTCTCTGGGGTTTATCGCTTGCAGGCCCAAAACCAAACTCCCTGAGGGTTGGACGCTTGGTAACTTGGTCAGGTGACAGATCTCAGGGCAAGGGTGGCAGATAGACCGTTAAGCAATAACCAAACGAGAAATGAGGACAGACACAGATGGATGTTTCTCTCAATCATCCCTTCTCCTTATAGGCTCGTACTCAGTCCCACTCATCACGCATTCTTTCCATGTTATGCTTAGCATACGAGAGCAGGAACTGAAATCCGACGCCTCAATCCAACCCGCAAGTGCAGGCCAGGAACATTGAATTCTAATCTTGGTGCTCACACCCAAGCTCTCAACTTCACAAAAATGCCAACCTTGTCGAAGGTACCTAAAGATTGTGATATCTGGGTGTATAATTGCTGGGCGCAGACCTGAAGCCGTCAGCCTCAAACCTGAGCCTCGAAACCTGAATCCTATCCTCTTAGGGATCCTTGAAATGCATGATGCTCCTAATGGCTCCATAGATACACATGTATATGGGAACTGCGCAACGTTACCCCCAAAGACTCCTCATCAAGGAACGCGAGCGCTTTGCAATCCCACGATTGCCGATTAGTGTGTGTGGGGGAGCGTAAATTTGCCAAAATCTTTCAGGCTGCCTCCCCCCCCCCGCGCGCCCCCCCCCCCAGTTCGTTTGGCTGGATTTTGTGAAATTGCCCCCCCCCCCAGTTCGTGTGGCTGGATTTTGTGAAATTGCGCCGCCAACATCTTTACATGTTTAGAATACTTCGGTAGTAAAAAAAAACTACCTTGCTTTCTACATCATGGGTAGGTTTGAACTAACCTGCCAGCCTCATGCAGTAGTTAGGGTCCTAATCCAAGTTGCTCTTGTTACAGCCATGTGTGAATAGAAAGCGTCCAGCACATCGAGCCTCAGGATTAAAGGTTTCAGGTCAGGTCCAAAACTTTGGATTTCTGATTGATCCCCTTATTCTTCAAGGAGGCCCTTTAATCATCTTGGCAGTGAGGTAGGTAGTCCAGCAGCTACCCAAATCCTCACTGGCCACCAGCAACACTGTTTGGAGGTGCTGGTCTATCCGAAACTTTCGGGCATAGGATTCCACAAAGCAAAAGTTGTTGCTTTTGAAGGCTCATTTTTTGAAGCCATGCTTCCAAGATATCAAGCCTCAGGACTTGCGGTGATTTCTTATTAGACCGCCTATTCGAGGAAACCAGGCCATGATTTTTACAAGGCAGCAGGTAAGTAATAAAACTGCTTTGGGGGGCTGATTTCTCCGAAGTTGTTGGACCCCAGAGGATTCCAGAAAGCAAAACCGTTAAATCTAAACCAGGCGGTAACCTCTAGTAATTATTAGTTAAAGTCAACTTTAGAACAGCTGAGCTCCGCAACACTCTTCCGATTGAATCTCACTTGAAACAGTTTCTGAGCTCCGCGAGGTTCCTGTGATTGAATGCGCCTCATATTGAACCCTTCTGACATTCTTCTGGAACCTTTCTGAAATCCTTCTGAGCTCACGGACCCCTTCCGAAACCCTTCTGAATGCCTTCTGACATCTGGCTGAATTTTTTGCTGAGCTGATCCTTCCTATTGAACTTGATTTAGCATTACATCCCAAATTTGATTCGGGCCTCCCCCATGAAATGAAAAGTGGCCCCACTTGCGATCGGGGGCGGGTCTAGCGCAATAATGAGGACCCCAAATCCCCAAATTAAATACAACCTAGACAAGTTGGAAGAGGGGTACCAATTAAATGATCTATAGCTCCATATGATCTCTCCTCTAAACTCCTAGCCCCCCCTTAATAACCCCTATAACACCCTCCCATATAAGTCCCTGTATAACCCCTTTAAGGAGTTTACACTACAGCTCATATGATCTTCCCTCCAGGGGCAGCGCGTCGTCGTTGCAGCGGCTCGGCTGTCGGAGGAGAGGTGGAGATGACACACGCGGCGCGGACTTTCAGGATGCGGGCGTTTCTGAAAAGTAGGGGGCCCGGCCCGAAGGGAACCAAAAGATATGTGGCGACTACAAGACAATTACAGGGGGGTCCCTTGATACTATGTGGGGATTGTTTGTGAGAAGCCGCCATATGGTCTATTCTTAACATGATGGGGCTGTGTGAGTAACGAGAAGAGCAGAACGGCTCCTAGTGGTTTGCGATAGCAAAACAGGTCCCGCATTCTGGAGACCTCTCACGTGCATTCCTCAAATCGCATAAGGAATATGCAGCCATTTGTAAGGGCTTTGGGTTAGGAAAATCGTCGAGATCTAAGTGGATTCCTACATTACAAGCTATGAGTCCTTTCCAGGGGACCAACAACAAACAGGCTCTGGTAACCTCCTCCGGTATGGAACAGCCCCACCCCAATATCAAATGCTCCGTTCGTCGTCCGTACCTCGTTGGGAACATCTGTAGTATAGGGGGTGGGGTATTTTTACCAAGGTAGGTAATTCCTATGTTGGCAGCTTATAGGGAGACCTGACATTTGAGAGGAAGCAAGGTCTAGCTCTCCACCCCCAACATACCTGAGACAAGCTGTTTGCAGACAAAAACACAATCTGATCCATTTCTTTTTGGCAGGCCTTGGTTGAGTGTAGGATATGTGGTGGGCTTTTCAAAGGCAAGCGTGGGTAGGGCCAGATCCATGACACTTATGTCTGGGTTTATATAGCACTTCCTGATTGCAGGGTCCAGAAGTGTTGAAGAAGAGCGTGACAATCGCTCAGGTGCTGGAATAAGTCCCGTCCGCCATCAACACCCACTTCGTCGGGTCTGTTTTTCTAGGGAGTAGTTCTGACCAGCCGACCAACATGTCATTCTGGATGGAAGGCAGAAAGCTTGGGCATTTCCAGAAATGAAAGCTTCAGTGCGCCACTCAAGGCGCAGCATGCATGCGGGTCATTGCGGTACAGTTTGGGAGATCCTTATGATATGGATGGTAGTACTATGCGGAGATACACAGGGAGTCTTGTCAGAGATGCTAGAATGCACTATCCTGAAACACTGCAAAACCAGCACCTAGTGGTACCCGTTGCAGCTAGGCGATGCGCCCGCCAACTACTAGTTCCTCAATATTCAGGTTGCACTGGGAAGTATAGCAGGGCCCCCGCATAGTCCTAGTATACCACTCTTCTTGGGTGAGAGGTAACCTGAGATTGCAGCATTGTGCCTGCTGAGGGGGCGCCAGGCCATCTCACAAAGGTTGCACCTTTCGATAGAGTCTAGCTTAGAGTTCAGTTTGGAAGCAGGTAGCAGGTTAAGGTTCCAGGGTCAGGTCGTTGGGTGGATACTAGGACTCGCAGTATTGGGTGGGTACTCCTTTTTGCCAAATGTCCTTCATCCGTAGGCTCTATATATACACGAGTGTTTGAGAAGAGTTTGTCAGTATCATGCGTCACCGCTACAAGCATGTCTCGACGTCCTTAAAACCCTGAGCACCGTCACGGACCCCATGTTTATGTCTAGTCACAGAAACTCCACCAAAAACAACAAATGAAAAGAACGGTGGAGTTCGGCAGTTCTGGCAGCACGGGAGAGGGCGCGTGTCTAGCAGGCATGCGAGCTGACTTACACAACCACCTGATGTAAAGTGGGCAAACCGATAAGTTCCACACATGTGCAACCACTCGGGATGATGTCGTCCTGGGAACCCACTTCAAATACACAGTCACAGCACGAGAGCTGAGAGGTCCCTGCGTCTGGCCAAAGGCCCGAGTGCACAAACTCATGCCTGTGAACCCACCAAAAAACACAAGCAAACGGCGTTTCTATTGTCTACTAACTGTCCGTTCCGCCACCACTGCTTCCTCTGCTGCTGCTTCTACGCTCGTTGTTACAACAACAACAACAACGACGACGACGACGACGACGACAACAACTACTACCACCACCACCACCACCACCACCACCACCACTACTACTACTCCTGCTGCTGCTGCTTCTGCTTCTACTACTTCGATGACAACTACTACTCCTACTACTTCTGCGACTGTCACTACTCCTACCACTCCTACGCCTCCTACGAAACCTACTGCTCCTACTACTCCCAGTGCTCGTGCGACTCCTACACTCCTACAACTCCGACTACTCCAACTACTCCTACTACTCCTGCTACTGCTAACCTGACAAACCCCAGACCCCTTAACATATCCTAAAACCACGAGCCGCTTGTCCGCTAGCTTTTGACGCCACCGTACCTTTCTCTGGTCCTACCTCATCCCACAAGCAGCCTCATGCTAAACCCAAGGCATACTCTATCCAATCCAAAGAACACCTAGGATGATTCGTTGATGATTCCCACCATGGGGCTCTCCTGAAAACAGACCATACCAAGACCGAAATGAAATCATATCGGGATTACGAGGCTCTCTCTTGACGAGGATTTATGGATTATTCCGAGCGACTCTGATATGCTACAGGATCTGCAAGCATTATGCAAGTGAAACAGTTGAGCCGCGTGGCTCGAGTGGCGAGTTCTGCGTAGGCACCAAGAAGGGGTTTGCTTCCTGGGAAGTTTGGGGGTGTTGGAATGCATCTGGGGAATCCTTGCGTGAAATAAAACCGGAAAAGGAATCTCTCAAAACGTGGGGTGGGTATTTTCGGGACCTTTGGGAAATGCGGGAGGAATAATGAGATTGTCAGGGTCTCGCGCATGCAGCACACAGCGTGTATCTCGAAAACTTCCCTTGAGTTTCAAAAGCTCTCAGGTGAGGTTATGAGCCCACCAAGGCCAGTGTCATCATAATCATACTACGAAAGCTAAAAGTATTGCGAATAATTTTACTAATGATAACACTACGAACAAGGCTAATAAGAAGAATAATAGAAACATATATTTGAAAATAATAGCAGTAGTACTGATGATCAAAGTATTGATGAGATTAACGAAGGAACTTAGGGACGATCAGCGGTGTCATCACCTGTTACCAAATACTTTGATCGAGCTCCTGCATGCTCCAACAGAACCCTTCAATATGGGTACAAATATGCAGATGGCGATGTTACACAGAATGCACTGCATGAGCCATAGTCTGAACTCCTAGTATCCCCTTAATAACCCCTATAGTAATCCCTGTACCATCCCCTATATCACTCCCCTTTAAGAAGGCGTTTCAGTACTTGCATGCTCACGAATACTGACTGCTGGCGTTCTAATGCTTCAACTCTTGTTTGGGGAACTTCTAGCCCCACGTACACATGAAGCTGAAGGTGGGGTTTAGGATTGTTGGAAAGCCAGCCCCTATTCCGGTGTTATCTTGCTCGAGCACTCGTGTATGCAAGCACTAAACCTTTGAGGCGGTCACATAAAACTCAGTTTCTGCTACAGCTACTACTGCTACACCACTACTATACTATCCTCTGTTGTCAGCAGCAGTACGCACAGGGCTAACGCAGACTAGTCGAGAATAGCGGCCACACAGACTTCTGAAAACTACAGCTTGGGTTCAAACTCTGAACCCTCAAACCGAGCGGAATGTACTCATAGCATATAAGTTTGGCCCAAGACAAGCCCTCGCAGTAGCCTCTCGTGCTAAATCCCAATTACGGTGCCCAAGGCTTGCCAACAATCCGGCATTCGCCTCGATTTCGCTTTGGGGGCCGTGCTTGGGAGGAGTTGCAAGGCCCGGACTATTTTGTACCATTTAAGCTAGGACCCTTTGCCTGAGCTGCTGGCAAGACCCAGACTATTTGCTGTACCATGCTGGACCCAGGTCCTGTGGTTTAAGCTAGGACCCTTTGCCTGAGCTGTTGAGCCCTGAAACCCGTCCTATTGACCTGAATGGGGCACCCTCAGCATATGCGCTTCCTTTACATAGGCAGCCGCCTCTATTCCAGCTGCACTCATTAGGCTCCCACATCAAGCGGCGAGTAGCACAAATGGCATAGGGAATATTCGGGGTGTGTTTAAATATCTCTGGCCGGCATTCAATTGACGCTGATGTTTGGATGTCTCAAGATTAACCTACAGAACCCATAGTAGCAACCCTTAAGGGCCCCGAACTCAGAGAAATATCACACAGAACTGAATGCTTGCGGGATCACGCGTATCCTCTCGCAGCTTGAGGTTCAAATACATCTTTCAGAATTCAGGGTGAGTTGAAGCCCATGGATCATGAATCCTCCACCAGCACCCTTTGCCGACTACATGCCAAGATGATGCCAAACTGGTGTTGCAATTGCTAGCCCGGAAAACTATGTAGCCACCTGCTCCAAGCAGCGATGGCAACTGGTCACCCCACAAAGCCTTGATGGATAACAGAACTGGCTTGTAGCCCTGGCTATATGATCAGATCAGTTCCGAACATGACTCTCCTCGATATTCCCAGCGGAAAGCACAGAGGGTGCTATCACTACGGCTCACAAAGCCCTCGGCAGTAGACGGCGCACCCTTTTTCGCAGTCCCAGATTATAAATGAAATGCCTGGGCACATGATGTGACCAGCAGTTTGCCTGTCCCGCCGGGCCTCGCTGCTTGTGAGTGACCTAAGGGCTATATAACTTTAAAGGGTCTGCAGTTATGTCGCACTCTAGCTATATGAGGCTCATCAAGAAATAATATGGACAAATTATAAAAGTTACGTCTGGTATGGAACAGTTCACGACTATAATGTAGGAAAAGCTTACGATATTCCAATCGGTCTTTCTAGGTACGCTAGTATACGGCTGGAATGCCTCCACCCTGCAAGACAAGCATCTTCAGCGAATAGATGCACATTATATTTATATTCGTGTCCTAAAACGCAAAATCGGTGTGAAGGCCTCATACTATTCCAGCGGGATTTGTCTCAAGAGTGGCGCACATCCCCTGGTAAAGGTCTCTTTTGACCTAATACTGCATCCGCTTCAGTATCCAGATCCTGGAGATGGCAACCAGTGGATGTGGTGCTGATGAGCGCGGAGCAAGAATACGCTCAGCATTGGCCGTAGGTGATTTGTCCGCTTTCTGCATTAGAGACAGGGCAGTGTGGGAGAAGGTGGAATCTAAGCATCAGGCTACGACGAGATTTTTTTGATATCCTCAACTCCTGGTTGAAAAGGGGGCAGAAGGGGCTTATCATTACAGCAGTGCCGTCACACTTGGAAGACCTGATTTACCTATGGTTTCGTGTCCTAGCGCCAACGTCTCCTCAAGTAAGCAGCGAGTGTAGGTGACCATCGTCGAAGGAATCTGAGTTTGTCCTCTTTCCAGGAAGACTCTAAGCAAAGCTTTCTCGCAAGCAGCACTGGCCGAGATCTGTCGCGGCAGACGAGAAGACTTGGAGCGACAATGCCGCAAGCACGTCAAAATTGACAAGTGAAATAACAGCAACAAGAGGAACAGTGATTGTAGGAACTATATCTGCTTTCATGATAACATTTCTACTCAGCATTGTTTTAATGGTGATGATGATCGTGGTCACAGCGAGAATAACTATAGGCGTGATAAACACGAGGAGCCTCAACACAAGACGATGTCGACTACTTTTCTGAGGCAAACCGGACTAGCCTGACGTTTTGAAGTACACCAAGAGTGAGCGGAATGCCGGAAAGGTGATGAACAATTTCAGTGAGAGCCGTATCTGTAGGACTGACTTGCTGATTCCTAGCTGCACATAGCTTGTCGCCAGCTCCTATGTGAAGTTTAGTTTGCATGGAATAGCTTCGGCCAAGAACAGAAGTTATCGTGGCAATGTCATATGGCCCTCGAAGTACTGTGTCAGCGATGTTCGCAAGCTCTTTATGGACACTGCGAGTTTGCGTCGACTGTATGCGCATGAAACTTTGTATACTACATAGCCTAAATCCTGACGACAAGCCTAAAGCCACCATAAACCATGACCCATGACAAAGATGCATTCAAAACCTAAACCTTGAGCTGCCTGAAACAAAGCCCTGAAACCTGAGCCGGAATCCTACACGCTAACTAAACTTCCAGCTCTACTCCCAAACTGTAGACCAACAACACAAAACCCAAGCCTGCAACTTCAGAGCCCACGGCCGAAACCTTTAATCCCAGACCCCAAAGCCGAGGCCAGAGACAGAAAGCCAGAAAGCCTTAACTCTAATGCAGAACGGGATAAAGGTACCATCGTGTTGCAAAAAGTTCCGCAGAACCCTAAACCCTAAAGACTGAAAAGAAATCAGCGCCTGCGTCCTCGAAGCTCCGTCAGAAAGGAGGCGCAAGCAGAGTGGCTAATCCCATCCCCCTTCAAACTTCGTGACGCTAGGCTTCTTGGGCTTAAGGCTTGGGCTTGCGGTGCGTTAGACCAAGGTTTTCAGTATTTATGCACGATTGGTGGAAGGCATGTACAAAACATTGCCCCTCCACGTGACCTTACTGAAGATGCCCTTCAAGATCCACGTAGCTCATTGCATGTATTGCAGGTATATACGCATATTTGCAAGCTAGAGGAGGGAAACCCCAATGCTCTGGGGACAGGATCAGCCAGAATCAAAACTCAAGGTGCAGAGAGTAGGGAGGAGTATGGAAAGAAACTGTAAGCAATCAACAGTCCAAAGCAGAAGTTCTTTCACGTCGAGCCTCCACTGTGGGGAGGCTGCTTTGACAAGCCATGGGCAACATCAGCAAAAGCTAGCAAAAATGGTACATCTTACAAAAACGCAGCAAAATGTAATCCGCGGGACGGCACATTGCGTTGGAGGCGTCGAAGTTCCTTGAGATTCCGCACGCCACTGCTAAACAACCCGCGGTCAGCCTCATGCATGGGTCGGACCAATGTCCAATTCACCAAGGGTTGCGGGTTTGGGAAACAGACGCCAAATCTTTGAGCTCCATCAGCTGCTGGCAGCCTTTACCAAACTATTCTGGGCCAGTTCCCAAGGTGAGATTGCCGCTGTCCTCATTATGCAAAGGCCAAGCAGGAACCACCGTTCTGAGAAGAATCATGCGAGGTTTGCTGAAGAACCCAGGGACTTTAGGTTTCAGGGCGGTGGCCTTGCAGCTGGAGAAGGATGTCTCGTGCTGAAGAAGGGTTGAGGATGAAAACACCACACAGGTCCGCAATCCAAATCAACAACTTTGGTGCCCAAAGCAGAGACGATAGGAGTGACTGGGTCGTGCAAAACTTTGCGGGAGGCGGCTTACATGTGGGTTGCTTCATCAGGTAGTTTAGATAGCTCCCAGCGCCTGAGACGCGATGCACATCCTGGCAGCCACTATCATTCCCGCAACCCGTTCATGCATGAAAACTATCGAATTTGCGAAGCGCTGCAGTCCACCTTGGGACCGCACTCAAATTTGGTAAGACGGAAGCAGTGCCTTGCGCATTTTACATACATTTAAGACCACTGTTTCAGTCTAATGTGGGAGAGAAAGTTGCTTACGGTGCTTAGCCTCCAAGCTTCAGAATACTGATTGGGATTTAAGCCAGTACCCTTGACCTCCATCACTCGTGAAGCAAAGATTCTAGACAGTAATCCTCCGAGCACAGCTTTGGCACGGAGCCTGGCTGGCCAGCCTATGGGTATCCAAGAACGTAAGGGAGCCCCATTGTGACACATCATGCTTGCTATCCAGGCCCCTGTAAGGTGGAGAGATGTCTCTGCACTTTCTTATGAGTTTCGCATTGTCCAGAAGGCTGCCAAAGGATCTTTCTTAGCATTGGCCCTCACAAATCACCAGTCCAAATAGTCGGTCAAGTTGACAAGCCGTTCCTTATCCGCACACCGTGGCGCTGTGCGACATCTTTTTAGGTTATTCGGTCCTAACAACGAACAGCTTCAAGTGCGCGCTTCCCGCGTGCGTCTCAAAACTGAAGTGGTGACGTCTCGAACCAATGGCTTGCTGTATGCCTGGAACATTTCTTCCATCCTTGAAGACATACTTTGCTTAGTCGAACCTGCTCTGAAAGACTTTACAAGCCCAGTTTCAATACTAACCTCTGTCACGGTGAGACATCCCCAAATTGCTGTAAGGCTTTCTTTGCCCGTAGGCCATGTTGGCCGGCAGCACCAGGGACAATCACACTGATAGCCTGAAACACTCCTCAAGGGTTCTCAAAGTTGGATGCCCTTACGTAGGGACCCTGATGATGTATAGGGCTTGCAATTGCAATTCTGGATTTCACAGGAACAATGTCCGGAAACTGCCTTGCAGTAGTTTCGCAGGTGAAGAACTCTAAATCCGAACTCAAATCTGCGACTGGCGACGCACTTTACAGGGGAAAAACTTGAAGTAATGTTGTGCAATTCCCCTGCCGAGAAATGTGGGAGTTGCCCAAAATCTTCCCCATAGACCTTCATGATCCTTCTCAATGTCTATATATATCCGTGTAAAGTCGCCAAGGGTTCAATAGTTTGAGAAACCCTTTTGTGGGAGAGACTGGAACTTTGAATCATCCAGACTAACATTGCCTTCAATGCCTGCTGCTGTAGTGGATATTGACGCCATCACCTGCTGCATGACCCGCATAATTTTTGGATCTTTCTGCAGATTTGTTGAGGGAAGTACCATACGCTTACCAATTCCTTCCATATCCGTTCACAGTTTTCTTCATCCACTATGCAAGAAACTTACAGCTCTTTGGATTCTACTGCCTTATCTGATCCTGGCATTGAAAGCTGACATACCCAAACACCCTGAGCTATACGCTGATACCTTAGAACGGGGCCCCTAGCCCCTAGCCACTAGCCAAACCTCAACCTCAAAGGTCGAGAATATGGAAATGTTCGAAAAATCAAGGGCACCTTCTAGGCATCCATCCGTATGGAGTTCACCCTTCCGGGCTTCATGTTTGGAATTACCCCAGATTCGTAACCCAAACTCACCATGGTGCCCCCGGCAAGAGCTGCATGCGTGGGCTGTTCTCAGTGACTTGAATTGGGGACTCTCCAAACAGCGTAATT